CAGCATAATTTATGCGTCTGTCCTTGTAGTATCCCCCGGGCGGCGGAGGGGGGAAGTACTCCGTTATATAAGCCGTATAGGTATGTGCCGCCGCAGAGGGTAGGGTTTTTGTACTGTTTTCGTCTGAAAATGGGTATAGACTTTGTCCATTTCAGTCTGGAATCGGGAATGGTTTTTCAGGGAACTACAGGAATTTATGACATACATGTTGTATTTATCATCTCAATTCCAAATGATATAAGAGAGACAGAGAAATATGTAAATTCCTATTTTCTTGCTGTTCCAATCTAAGTAATGATAAAGTAATTTCTTAAAGGCCAGGTCTGAAAACAGGTGTGAAAAATGACATTTTTTGATCTGAGATAGGGTCAGGATTTGAAGAAGTGGGTGACACATCCCCACCAAGAATTCACAGGAGTACCCCCCCGGATGGTATTTAAAGCTTGTGATTACTATTTTTCTAGCCTGCATCAGAGACATAACTAACCTTGGTTAGTACTCATTTCTGTGAAGCTGTGCCGACATCCTCGTTCTAAGCCCCCAACATACTTGATGAATTACCAGAAGTTAATGTACGTTTAAAGTTTCTTTCATGCTATGACAGACTCAATGAATTACCGGATGAATGTTTCAAGTTTCTTTCATGCTGATTGGCAAATTGACAATGACTTTTTTAACAGGCCAATCATAGCACATACCCAAATCTTGGTACACAGATGGGGGCCCAGAACAAGGATTTTGGTGCTGTTTCGCAGATGGACTTTTAAGTCAAAGACTAAAACCAGAGTTAAGTTTGCCTGTGGTGCCGGCTACTATACAGGGCATCAATCAACGGCCAGGCAGGTGCCAGTCATGTTGTTCAGTCGAACATGTTTTTGCCCGGACACCACCTGTTTTTGGCCGGTCAAATGCAACAGTCATAACTTTTGCAATAGTGAACCCAAATTGCACAGTAAACCTTTTTTTTAAACAAAAAAACAACTGAATCCTAGTCAGTTTAACAACAAAATTACAAATTAAAAGTTTTACCATTCGTCATTCCAGAAGCAGCCTCGCATATGTGGAAAGGCTATGGAAGCCATTCTTTCACATCACATGAGGCAAATTACATTTTTGCAATCGCCACATCGTGCATTTCTACATGTAAAACATGCAAAATATAATGAAAGCCGAAGATTTCAATCGATCTCTTAATTAATATGAAGGAAGAAGCTAACTGAAATAAACAAGAAACACTTGACTTACAGGTTAAAAATTCATATATTAATATTGTCTTAAAGTTTGGAAAATTTGGCAGCACTAGCTATCTGATAACGCTTATTCCACTGGATAAATCTCTATATCGTTTGATAGAAATTCCACTGCGGCCAGGACTATAATATTATTTTAAACCTAGTTTGGTTCAGAATTTCCTTTCTTTCTTGGCCCGTATTAATCATACAAATGTACAGTGTGTAGGAGACAATGAAATTCTGGTTTACCCTGAGAACAGATTTTACCTACAACATTTTCAAATGTTGGTTTACCTGTATTTTCACTCAAATAAAAAAAATGTAATGCAGTTAGATTCAGAAGGAGAAAAGCCAGAATGGAATAATCCCACAAATTAGTTATTGGAAATTACAAAAAATCACTGATCCACAAATTTTATTTTAAAGATTAAACTCCCACAAAAAGAAAGTGTCAAAATGGTAATTGACAACATTACACCATTTATTTAGTATACATGTGTACTTTCTTTCTTTGTTCCTGTTATAGTGTTCATGTCTGTAGTGTTAAAGGATTTTTAGGATTCCTGTGATGTCCAGGCTGATGGAGGTAAGAAAAATTCATTATCTGTTAGCTAGAGTGTTTCTCAAGTGAACAGAAGGTCAATTTTTCTTGGTATCTTACAAGTTGTAAGGTCTGAGGTGTGAGAATTCTAGTTTTGGTTGTGAATGTTGGTGGAGGCATGTTAATCATGTCAGACTCTGGATCAGGGGAGGTCTAATTTGAGCCCCCTCTGTTCCATCTCTTGATTTTTATTTAACCCGGGAAAAAACCGGCAAAGCCGATTTTACTGGGTTATCATTATGCATAAGGGAAGAAACTTTTCGGGGGGGGGGGGGGGGGTCGGGGGATTTAAAGGAAGTTTGGTTGGGTCTGTGCTGCTAAAACCCTTCGATTCTGACCCTGTTTAAAGGCAAAATGCATTCAAATTGCAACCCTGTTTAAAGTGAAATTGAATACTTTCTTTTAAGATTGAAGATCCCATAAACCTCTACCATGCAGAGCACACATACCAAGTGAGCCAAACATGGAAGTCCCCCCCCAAGCGTGTGTCCATCTGTAAACTCCCAAGGGAACCATTTTCCATATATTGAGGCGAAGAAACAATGCAATTGTTAATGATAAGACATCAGGACTAATTTCAGTTGCAAGCATGATAGATCTACTGTTTACCCATTTTTCAGGGCAGTTTTTCAAAATATGCATAAACGTACTTGTCAACCATTTAAAGTTTTCATACTAAAGATCAACTTCACTACAATATTGTTCAAAAGCAGTACTAAATTCTCAGTGATTCTAATAGTGCATAATTAAACATTCCTTTTGTATGTTACCAAGCACAAATTTTAAGACAGATAATACAACTATAAATGTACTCTGAGTGTTTTTTTTTTTGCGTTTTCTCCTTTAATTCAACAGGCCTGATCTGTAACATGTAAAAGATGAAACGTGATCTATGACGTCAAAAAATTATTTTGTAGAACCGATCGCAAAAGATCGTGTGCATTATCAGGAATTACAAGGCTTGAAATTAAAAATACTCCTCAGGTCACCTTTTGGCGACCAACTCTCGCCAGATGCAAATTCGCCAGTATTTATGATATTTAGCACAGTCCTGGAGCTGAGAAATTAAGGTAAATGCACAAAATCCCGCAAAATTCAAATACATGTCAATACAACATATTTACAACAAATTATGTTGCAAAAAACTGGGCACTAGTCATGATGTTAAAAGCTTTGCCAAAGGTGCATTTCTCGAGCGCTTTGTTGTTAAAATAGGAAATGATTATCTATCGATTTCTAGTGAAATTTGCCCAGAAAATTCCCACGAAATTGGCCGTTTTCTACTGATTGTTTTCCAGTGAAGTTAGCCCCGAAAATTTCCTCGAATCTGTCTTTGAAAATCCCACAAGATTTAACTTTTTTTGCGACCTATCAGAAGCCCTGTACGTAGTATGGCGCAATCAATCAGATTTGATAGAAGTCGGTGTAAATTTGGAGGTAAAGTGGCTTTGTTTATGCAATTTCGCTAATTTTTTAAGACAAAAGTAATGCAAGATAAGATGAAATGTTTGTTTTAACTTTACTCTTTTAATTTAAATCTAATTCATAGAGAAACCTGATCGCCATAGTGGCGACTAAACCAGAAGTTTTAGTCACCAAGGAGAAAATGTTGGTCGCATTGGCCACTGTATCAGTCGCAATTTTGAGCCCTGAATCACAGGAAACTACACAGTTTTTTAAAAATATAATTATTTCATCAAAGGGATAACATAGGCATAAGCAAAAATAAAAGGTAAAGCAAAAAATTTGAATAGTCTAAATATCTGGTAAAAAGGTAACATTATCCACCTTATTAAAAATCTAATATATAGATAGTTTAATTTTACTAACAACATACGGTAATTTTTTCCGAGTTTTGTGGCATGGCTCACAGCCACTTTGATCTTAGTCAAGAAACTATTTCTCACTTTACCTCTCCTCTCACAGGTCTTTAATCTTGTGTTTTTTTTAACTGACTACATACGACTGGGAGCAATGCTGTGGTGTATGAAGGCCCGTTCTGGTCAAAATTGCATGATTAATTTTTCCCTCTTGATGAATTAATTTGATGAGTACCTGCTATTAATATTTTGTCTGTTTGTAATTATTTTTTCCTATGCCTGTAATTATTTTCTTGTTCTTTTTAACTTTTCCATGCATCACAATTATTTCTTCCTCACCAGGAATTAATTTTTTTATGTGCTGTCTTTATTATTATGCTTCTTTGAAATTATTTTTGTCCATTACTCAAATTATTTTACGGTTGCGTCCATTAGTTTTTTGTGTGCTATATTATAATAACTTTTTTTGGATAATTAATTGATTTTGTCCTACACAACTCATAATAAAATGATAATTTAATTTTTTCCATTCGAGAATTATTTTTCTGTTAGTCATAAATATTTTTTCGTAGTTTTGGCAAATGTCCCATAAGCCTCTGTGGCGAAGCTCTTGCCATGTGCTTTCTGAAACAAACATCGCATCTTCAAACCATTCCAACAACGATCCCGCTTCTATTCAGTCCATTGCTAGCACTGCAATCAGCCACATCCAACAGCTTGTTTCGCTAGTGGAACAAAGGCCAACAGCGGCATCAACCTCTTCAAACGAGCTGCAAGTAGCGACTCCACGAGCTGGTACTGCTTTGGAGGAATTACGAAGGCGATTCCCAACAGTTTCAGCAAGGTCAAGCAGGAATGATGCAACAGGAAGGTATGAAAGATCCAATACTTTCCAACCGTATCCTAACGTAAGACGCACAGTTGGGAGACCATTGACGTCTGAAACAGTCTCGAAAGATATTGTAATCTTGGATTTTGGAAGAGAGAAAATACCAACAAAATCCAAGAAAGCTGAATTGGAAAGATCCGGCAGAATCATTTCGGGTTTTGACATCAATAGAAAGTGGGATGCCAAAACACTTCGCAACGAAACATCACATTTACTACCAGGTTATATGGAGGGACTGTATTTTGAAATCATCAAGAATAGTGGCGGCACCCTGATAAGACCAAATCTCCCTGCAGGAAAAGACATTGATGCTAAGCTTCTACTCAAATCAATTGCCCCGTCAGGATGGGGTATATCTTAGACTGATAGAGGAGCTACCAGATTCTTTCATGGATCCTAGTGATAAAAAAGTTTTAGTTTCTCCTTTTGCTGTTGAAGACACAGGTGATCCGGGTGATCCAGGCTTGTGTATAGACTTGACCGATGCTCCAGATGGAGTTAAGGATTGTCTCGTCAAAACTCAGCAAATGGCACTGAATCCTCTAATCCAGACGAAAGTTCAACACTCAATGCCAATGAGAGTCAGTGAGTCACAATCGAGTTCTTTGAACATTAAGTCAGTTATCAGGGGTGCTAAAGAGGGAGAGTTGAGTGACCCCGTAGAAGTGCTCAAATACCTACAGAAGGAGATAGTAGCTGGAAGACCCTTAGAAGTCACCAGCTCAGAAGACACCATTGAAGGAGAAACAAATTACATAACAGTTGACAGAGACAATATAATAGAAACAACATATATCCAACTACAATATATATCCAACTACAGACTGACATTCCAGGTGGACTTTATGGGAGAGGAATGTATAGATTATGGTGGGCCACGAAGAGAATGGATAAGATTAATGAACCAAGCCATAAAACAAAAATACTCTGACCATAGTTTAAGGCCATCGTTGACAGAAGATTATTTTAATGTTGGAATAATGATGGCAATAGCCATGCTTCAAAATGGCCAGCTGCCTTGGTTTGTAGAGGAGGATATTCTGCAGCAAATTGTTTCTGAAGGCATGTGTTTGGATCCTTGTGTTGCCAAACTTCAACAAGGTCTCGAAGCTAAGTGCTGGGAATGTTATCAGCCCTTCAGGAGCTGCCAATGTTGATTCATCTCCTGAGACCTCAAGGACAGCAGAAGCTTGGAGTACAAATGCTGCTTCACATTTTGAAGCCACAGTTTTCAGAGGAGGGGTCTAATGCACTCAAAAAGGAAAAAGAAGTTTATCAACTCTTTGTTAGATATCTTCGTGAAGTAGCAGCTTCCAGGAGGGTATGTGGAAAGACTACCCTCAATTTGAGTCATATTCTTCAATTTGCCACTGGTTCACCAGAGGAACCCGTCCTTGGTTTTACGCTTGCTGCGTCGTTGAAGTTCATATTACCCACAGAATTGAAAGTTACAAGTCAGCAAGGACTTAGTGAAGGGCAACACCCAAATGTGGAGGGTGCCAGGCTTCCTGCCTCTAGCTCATACCTGCACCAATTTGCTTCAGGTTCCAAGACCGACTGATGCATTGCCTTTGCCCTCTACCCAGAGACTGTTTGCCCTGTATGACTTGGCATTCTCGCAGTGTTATTGTGGCAAAAAGTAAAATGGTTTAGAGTTACAAGCCTAGATTGCTTTATTGATTTATGTTATCATATAAAGTCACCAAATTTAGTAAGTTGAGTTGCTTTCATTAATGCAAGTAAAGATATGTTATTCTTAAAATTTTTGAAGAAATTAAATTTAAAGTTTTTCACTCACAATGTCATTTTTGTTATTATTTTGTGGGTCAGTTATTTGCCAAGGGTGGAGATACATACTTTTTGCAACTTCTCTTATTTTGAAAGGAAAGTACTTTTTCATAGGAGCTTGCTTATTATTAAGTATGACAGTTTCAGTGACCAGCATCATTGATTAGTGTCCTAAGACACTCCGTTCTTCAAGGAATGTTTTGTTACTGTTTAAGTCACGTAGATTAATAAACATGTTGATTTGTCTGTGTGTTGTCATATAATTTACCTTAAATAAACATGACAGTCACCTTGAACCCGTAAAGCAAGGACTAGAGATGAAAAAGAATGTTCATTGTAACAATTGAGAACATTTGAGGGGGAAATTCCTTCCCACTGCATTATGTACCAAGCAAAGGACACTTGTTTCATCCTCTTTTTTAAATAGTTAAGTGATTTAATGCGGAACTCAATCACCCTCCCACCAAAAACAATAACCTTTCGGTTTCACTGATTTTATGTAGGATTGACAGTAGTCTGAGTTCAAGGTACTGCACTATCACTACCCATCCCTTAGGGAAACCCAGGGAAGCGAAGGGAGTTAGTGTAGGATGCTGTTTATGGGGTTGTCCAGGCAATCAAATCCCCCCTCCCAGAGGGGGATCATGTTGAGCAACATGAAAACACTCCAGAGTATATACCTGCCAACTCTCACGCCTGCGGGTTGAAAACTTCGATCTCACGCCGGCTCACGCCTGCGGGCCAATTTCTCACGCCTGATTGAAAAATGTGAGTTGTTGCCATCTTGCTTGACACAATTTCCAAAAATATGGTAACTCAGACCCATGTAAGGAACGGAAACCATGTGTAACATGAATAAATGACAATACCTTCCTCGCGATCTCTGATTTTTGAAGTGAAAAGCACTGGGAGCAAGCTCGCCTTCGGCAGACTTCGGACGTCTTCAGAAGACTTCGGACGTCTTCGGAAGACTTCGGACTTCTTCGGGAATAATCTTCGGAAATGATCGTGTCGTCCTTAAAAATCCCAGCACTCCCAGGATAAAAATCTCATGCTTATATCTCAGAAAAAGTTGGCAAGTATAAGAGTACAAAACGGTACCATAATATAGAGCTTTCTTGACTTGACTAACAGAAGTAAAGTTTGATCATGTAAATTACATTTTAACTGTGAAATTATTCTCATTTGTTGTCAACAATACAATATAATAACAAAAAGATAATTGGGAACGTGTTTTTCAACAATATTATTTTGATTTTTCAACTTGCCACATGGCTAGATTGTCACTGTGTGGTCTTGCTTCTAATATGAAGCACCACTAGGGATTGGATTAGCACTTACAGAATGTCTATAACAATAGTGGCAACCATTTCAGTCTTTGTGTGGTAAGACTATACAAGGAGGGGGAGGGGGGTACTCTCCTATATAGGCAATATAGGTATAGGTATGTGCCGCCCCTTAAGGGTGTGGTTGTGAAGTCGTTTTGGTCTTAAAATGTACATAGGATTTCACATTATGGTTTTAACTCGAGTATGGTTTATACCCGGTTTGGAAGTAAAACAAACAAATGTAAACGTTTTCAACCCAAACTGAATTAACAAGACAGAGAACCGAGTAAAACATATCATTCAAGTTTCACAGCTTATTCTTCTTCACTTCTGAGGTTGGGTCTTAAAATGCATGTGGAAAAGTGGCAATTTTTAGTCTGAAATAGGATCAGGGTTTCAAGAACCAGTGGCACATCCCCACCAAGAATTGCGAGGAGTACCTCCTGGCGACTATACAGGCACACAACAGATTAAAACACAATAAGCCCTAATCACACTACCTAAATCAGACATATATAAGTCCATGCAGTGCATGACTTTTGGATACTAAAACTCCTTCATTTCCCTAACCTTCAGGGTAAAATAATATTATTGTTCTTCAAATCCTGCTGAAAGTCTCCATACAACACTGTACTTGCCTGAGGTCTCCCCCAGGAGATGGTTAAGTGCATAAGCATAATAAATAAAATTGCATGGCTGATGATTGATTCCTGATACAGTGTAATCATCCCATGAGACAGAACAGTGAGACATAATTGGACAATTAAAAGTATTTAATAACATATTCTAAAATGAGGCCTTTTAATAGACAACATCATTTTACCAAAACTTCAGTTTTCTGTTTTTCACTGGTAGAACTGGTAAAAGGTAGACAGTCCATTAATCTGAGGAACTTCTCAACAACAATGGCCCTAATAACCACACCAAAAAAAAAGTACAGGGGCAATGGCATCCTTAGTATGGCTTGCAGGCCACTTTGTATCTTGGAATTTTTGAAATGGGATTTTTACTGTACTGTAATAATTAAAATACAGTAAAAATGCAATTTGAGTGTACAAATAACAACTGTCAATAGCAATCTTGCTGAAGTATACAAGTATGGACCCATTTGGGATTTACATCGCCCATATAGTAATACAACAATAGTGTTTGTGTGATTGGTTCAATTCACCCTGGAATACTTAACTAGAGCAAAGAAATCCATTAACGACCTCAATGCATTGCAAGTAAATATCTTTTCCACTGTTTCCATCATTTGTGAGAGGATCTGGAAGTTCTCCTTTCTGTTCTTCTGAAAGGCTGACCAATGGTGGATCAATCTCTACCTGATAATCCTCAACCTCCACTGAAAGCACACCATCTGGATCTATCCCCAAATGTTCAATCTCAGCCTCACTCAGTGCAGAATGTCCAGAGTGCAAGTTCTCTAACATACCCCTCTCCCACATTTAAAGTGGTAAATGGTTTCGTTCAGTTGATACTGGCCGATTATTCATTCGACTGACAAGCTTCTCTAGAGAATTCTGTATTCTTGGAATGTAGATGTGATGTAAGCTGAAAATATGAACACCATTAGGACATCTAGGTTGCCTTCATCTTCCAGTTGTTGAAAAACACGGGAATAGAATGCTAACACCCCAGAATAGACATCACGATGTGTTCTCTCAACTCGAGAGTTATGGACAGATGATCCAGTAATGATGCTGCCTCTGCCTGGTCCGCGGTGCTGTATCGTGTAGGCACCAACATGGTAATTCTCAATACCGTAGTCACATCGGACGCGTGAGGGTAACCCCCATTTCTGCACCGCATTTTGAAACAAAGAAAGGACTGTTTCTGCTTTGTTATTGTCTCTGCAAGCAGCATACAAAATTAACCTTGTTTTCCCATCAATACAGACGTGTGTTATCAACTTGTACCTTATTAATTTGTGGCCCGAATATATATGCCATAGGCTGTTAGGGGTTGGTATATAATATTTTCTACGGTGAATAGTCATATCTCCAACGCAGGGCAGTTCCAACAGGATCCATACGTCTTAAACAATCACTTACTCTCCATCTTTCAATGCTCCAGCCTCTACTCCTCAGGGCTCCTATAAATCGTCTCCTACCAATGTTGGGGGTAAGGGGTCCCGTGCTTGAACTGCCAGTTACGCTTCTGTAAATTTCATCCAGTTCGTCATCTGATATTTCTGAATAGGCTGGGGTGTTCACTGACCGAGTTCTCTTCGTCGCCGCTGAAGGGTTGAAAGACTAACCTGAAGAATGCAAGCAATTGCTTCCCAAGAAAAATAAAGCGATCGTAAGTGTTCAAGTTGGTCTTTAGTTATTTCATAGCGTTTATGACCTCGTCCTGTCTGTGAAAGATCCAGCGGTGCAGAATAAGATATATCCAGTGAGTCATAAAAGTCTACATTGTTGCGGCCCTCTATCCGACTTGAAAGCAAATCAGTTATGTGGGTTAAAGAATTCTTCAGGTACTGCACAGGAACTTGAATCGCATTTGACGGAATACCAGTAGCATTTGTGAGACCATTCGACATGTCATTCAGCAGAAATGACAACGTGCCCAAAGCATCCACTAATCGACTCCTCGTTTGAATCAGAACGTCTCATCAGCACTAGCCAACAGACGAAGAACGCTTTTTAGATTCTGTAAGAAAAGCGCGAACCCACGTTCATTTCTTTCTCGTAACACCACTGGGCATGACCGATGAGTACGAGCCGCCATGTTTGTCTTAGGTGCATTAACGCAGAGGCTTATGGGACATTTGCCAAAACTACGAAAAAATAATTATGACTAACAAAAAAATAATTCTCGAATGGAAAAAATTAAATTATCATTATAATATGAGTTGCGTAGGACAAAATCAATTAATTACCCAAAAAAATTATTATAGCACACAAAAAACTAATCCGCAACCGTAAAATAATTTGTGTAATGGACAAAAATAATTTCAAAGAAGCATAATAATAAAGACGGCTCATAAAAAAATAAATTCCTTGTGAGGAAAAAATAATTGTGACGCATGGAAAAGTTAAAAAGAACACAAAAATAATTACAGGCATAGGAAAAAATAATTACAAACAGACAAAATATTAATAGCAGGTACTCATCAAATTAATTCATCAAGAGGGAAAAATTAATCATGCAATTTTGACCAGAATGGGCCTTCATAGTGGTGGACTAGTATCCCATCCAGGGAGGGGTGGGGGGAGTTTTGCTGGGAATAGTTCTTGGCAGTTCATGATACTCAAACCAAGATTATTGCTGTTGCTGTGTGCAGGGCTTCAATGGCTTGTTTCAACCCTTTAAGCACCAGTATCCACATACAAATTCTCCAGAATGATCTCTATGCATTCCTTAACCCTTTAAGCCCTAAGAGTGATCAGCGTCAAATTTCTCCTTGTAGTATCACTTCTTTATAAAACACAGTGGTCATGAGAATTGAGGACTTGATCACACAAGATGAATCTAATTGATACTTCAACAAATTCTTCCCACTACTTCTATTGAAAACAAATAAGGACAACAAATGAGAGTTTGAATTTTGATATTAGGGTTTAAAGGGTTAAAAGAATTACATGTAGTTAAGAGAATTTGATTAACGATTAACCCATTCGCTCCTGGAGATTTTGCCGAAAAATGCATTTTGAAGCTAGTCGAGTGGTGTTCTGGTCACTGTCGTGCTATAGAGAGCTAAAACTTACCACAAACCGGTTCACAGGTCGTACACTTGGCAGCCTTCTGATCCAGATGCAAAATATCAGCTTGCGAAGTTCGGGCATGCGCAGAAAGCAAAATTTTGGGTTTAAAAGTGACACAGCAGTCTTGACTTTTACTTTTCGCTTTCTCTCCTCCCGTCTTTTTTCGCTTTTCTTGCCTCATTTTTTTTCTCTTGCTGGGCTTTTAGTAGGCTTCATTTTGGTGGGAAGAGTTTTTAGGAAAGCTTTTAGGATCTTAGGATTAGGTGAAAGGAAAGGTAGGTGGGCAATGGAACAAGATTTTCATGGAGATTTTCAGGTCAATGTCAGGTGGTTTTTTGCTTCTTTCTCCGGTGTCCTTGACTGAATTGTGCTCATTCTGGTATGGTTTGAAAGATCTCTTCACTCTACACAAGTTAGCGAAGAAAGTTGTCCTTGACCGTTAAAGCTCATGACGTCAGAAAGGGTAGAAAGAACCTGGATCCACACGGGCGGTTCAGGGGCGAATGGGTTAATAGCATTTTCACTAAATGATCATTTTATCAATTTTGTATCATTAAATGGGCAGTTTACATACACGTAGTCCACACCTCTTAGTGTAGTACAGGTGTACTGTGCTGTTTACATACATGTAGTCCACACCTCTTAGTGTGGTACAGGTGTGCTGTGCTGTTTACATACAAGTAGTCCACACCTCTTGGTGTGGTATAGGTGTACTGTGCTGTTAACATACATGTAGTCCTTAGTGTGGTACAGATGTACTGCAGTGCTATTTACATACATGTAGTCCACACCTCTTAGTGTAGTACAGGTGTACTGTGCTGTTTACATTAAAGTCCACACCTCGTAGTGTGGTACAGCTGTACTGTGCTGTTTACATACATGTAGTCCTTACCTCTTAGTGTGGTACAGGCGTACTGTGCTGTTTACATACATGTAGTTCACACCTCTTAGTGTGGTACAGGTGTACTGTGCTGTTTAAATACATGTAGTCCACACCTCTTAGTGTGGTACAGGTTTACTGTGCTGTTTACATACATGTAGTCGACACCTCTTAGTGTGGTACAGGCGTACTGTGCTGTTTACATACCTGTAGTCCACATCTCTTAGTGTGGTACAGACGTACTGTGCTGTTTACATACATGTAGTCCACACCTCTTAGTGTGGTACAGGTGTACTGTGTTGTTTACATACGTGTAGTCCACACCTCTTAGTGTGAGGGTCGTACAGGGGGGGTCTCTCACACGGTTCACGAACAGAAAAAACAGCGAATTTCATTTTCCCGAATCACGAAAATAAACAAGTAAGGTACTCGTTTTAATAACCTTCTCTTACGGTAGAAAGAGTGTTTGAAGGAAGCAAAATCGTTAAAGGCTAAGTAAAGGCTGCTTATCGGAAATCACATACCTAAATCACTCTCGATGGACGACTCTGACCATTCGTCCACTTCACGTTGTAACTGCCCGAAGAAACAACAAATCGTCTAAAGAATCTACCTCGTAATGGTCAGCAATAGGATATTCAGCGTCTGAGTCAGTGTCATACTCTTCCTCCTCTTCTACCTCGGCTTCCTCTACTACTTGAACATCTTCAATGGCCTCGTGCGATCCCGGGGGGGGTACTCCCTTACAAGAGGCTAATGGGGATGTGCCGCTGGATGGGGTCGCATTTTCACGACTGGAGTGACTATAATGGGGTCGCATTTTCAATAGATTTACTAGAATGGGGTCGCAAATTTTAGGATTTTGGGGGTAAGGAGGGATTCAAAATGGGAAGATTTTCGGTTATAAAATCAGAAAGTTGTTGTTTATTAAATTTAACTATAAGCTCGCACTGACCGCATTACATTCCGCCGCTTGAAACCACATTGATAAGGTCAGGATGCATAAATAGAAAGTGACTAAGTTGGGATCGCGAAAATTACATTTTCCAAAAAGTGACTAAGATGGGGTCTATAATTGGCCAAAAAATAGACTATAATGGGGTAGGGGCTCTAAGGAGCCAGCGGCACATACCCAGCAAACATTAACCCAAGTACCCCCCCCGGGCGTGCGATGTAGAAGGCGTAACAGTCGGGCTGTGTATAAAAGTGGGACGGGGACAAGGGGACAGGGACATCGGGACGCGTGTGTGGGGACTTGGGACGTGGGGACGCGAGACGAGGGACTTGAGGACATCAACTATGGGACGCGGGGACGTGTGGGACGGGGACGCGGGGACGTCAAATACAGGGACGCAGGGGAGGCGGGATGTGAATGATTATTGCAAAAGTCGCAGGTAAATGCGATATCAGTCACTTTCCTCGTGAATATGTTTTGGTGAAAGGAAACCCACCCTGCCCTCCTTAGGGTTCCTCCATGCCTGTTTACGAAGAGAAGACTCGGCGAAGACCCCCTGCATTGAAGAAAGTGAAACCGTTGTCCTAGTCTTCTTGCTGATGGAATATTGGAGCCAGTAGGGTAGGGTGGGTTGCGGTCGCCAAAAATTATGTAGAATAACAGCATTCGATTCCAAATAAATAAAAATTAAGTGGCATTAGCGAGCTTCGAATCCCGAAGTTCTAACTCCGAAATCCATCGCCTGTACCACTAAACCACGAGGGATTCAACTATTGCAGCAATATTTAATTTGTTCTACATTTTTAGTGGCAAACCTAACAGTAAATGCTTGCTAACAGTACTTAAAGGTTGATTTCCACCGACGCGTTTTTGGCTATGCACGTTAACGCAAGTAAATTTTAATCACGTAAATAAGATAGGCAAGATATAAATTGTCGAGATTAAACGTGAAGTTGAGCGAGATTCTACTTTTACGCTTACGTGCGGCCTTTCAGACATTGCCTCTATTTTATGTGCGAACGTAAATTTTACGCACGTAGGCATGGAAAAATTACGCGACAGTGGAAATCAACCGATCGAATGCTGGAATCGAATGCTGGAATCGAATGCTGTTATTCTACATAATTTTTGGCGACCGCAACCCACCCTACCCTACTGGCTCCAATATTCCATCAGCAAGAAGACTAGGACAACGGTTTCACTTTCTTCAATGCAGGGGGTCTTCGCCGAGTCTTCTCTTCGTAAACAGGCATGGAGGAACCCTAAGGAGGGCAGGGTGGGTTTCCTTTCACCAAAACATATTCACGAGGAAAGTGACTGATATCGCATTTACCTGCGACTTTTGCAATAATCATTCACATCCCGCCTCCCCTGCGTCCCTGTATTTGACGTCCCCGCGTCCCCGTTCCACACGTCCCCGCGTCCCATAGTTGATGTCCTCAAGTCCCTCGTCTCGCGTCCCCACGTCCCAAGTCCCCACACACGCGTCCCGATGTCCCTGTCCCCTTGTCCCCGTCCCACTTTTATACACAGCCCTCTCCTCGTCCCATTGCTCTTGTGTATTTATCACAAAGGCCTTACTGCCATCTTTTCCCTTTTCGAGACGAAAAAATTTAAGTTCAACACAGGAGCCGAGGCCACGTTTCTCAGCCTCTGCCTTTAATCCGGCAAATTCTGCGAACTTTTTAGTAAACACTGCCAAAGATGAATGTTCATCTGTAATTGGAAAGCGAACTCGTTCCTTTCCAAGAAAATTAAGCGAGCCGACAGACTTTGGGTCAACGTAAAATACAATACATTCGACCCTCATCGTACTATACGTACTCGTCCCCTCCATGTCTCGGATGTTTCGATGTTTTGGATCACTGTCCTTTGACCTCCAGTGACATAGGAGACCATAGGCATAGGAATAGACATCTTATTTGCACAATGGATTTCTTTAATTAAAGCGAAGTCTGGTACTTGTCACATTTGATGTTTTCAGTCTTAAAATAAGTTTTCCGGAGCACTCGCATCTCAAAATCACGCCAAATAGAGTGGTGAAATCACGAATATCGGTTAATAATTCAAGTCCTTCACGGGTCACGCAAAACCTTCAGATCACGGATCACGAAGAATAATTTATTAAATTCACATTTCACGGAAAATAAAATCAGTCAATCACGCATAACGGGAATACCCCTGTACGACCCTCTAGTGTGGTACAGACGTACTGTGCTGTTTACATACATCAATAAATCGTACTGGGCCAGTCCATGTGAAGCGTTACAGTACATAATTAATTAATACAGTCTATTATTTAAGAATAAAGGCGGAGGGGAGTGGAGGCTTAAAGGAGAGTGCAGGCTTAATAACTTTCTTCTTCTGAAAAGGGGGGGACTTATTTGGCAGGGGGTGGGGGGTTAATAGAGGATTTATGGTATAGAGATATACATATACATGGGACACCACAGGTAGCCCAAACGCTCAAAAAATTTCCTGCATGTTTTCCTAGTCAATTTTTTCAAGTGCACTCGCTGACAGAAAAGCAGTGGAAGACAATGCTCAATTAAAGTTTGCAAGAACTTACTGTTAAAAAGGGTTTCTAATAACCCGAGATCAGGCTCTATTTTATGTTTCTTTTTGTAAATAACATTCCAGTGGGCAAGGCGAAACGAAAAGAGAAATTTTAGCTGGACTACGAAACATAAGAGAGAATACAATGTATATGAGAACTGCTAAAATTGAGCCTGATCTCAGGTTAGCTTTTTAATAAACGCTTTAATAAATTTACATGTGTGCCCTTCTTCTTTTAGAAATTGTCATCCTTTCCTAGCACAGCCTCTACATCACAGGAAGACCATGAAAGCAATTCAGAATCCACCTCCTCGAGGAAATTGAGGGTAACTCTGTTAAGCAGGGAATGGCGATCAACAAAAGGAGGCTTGTCAACCATCAACCGAGAGGTGGCCATTCAGTTGGCTAAACACCCCAGCGTGGAGGTCAGTGTTTATCTTCCTCAGTGCAGCGAAGAGGATAAACGAGTTGCTGCAAGTCACAATGTTCATCTCATTGAAGCAGATGAAATGGCAGGTTATGACCCTGTTGACTGGTTGTCCTTTCTTCCTGAAAACCATGCAGTGGATTGTGTGATAGGACATGGGGCTGTTCTTGGTCGGCAAGTGCAGGGTATAAAACGACATCGTCATTGTAAGTGGATTCAGGTCGTTCATACAGCTCCTGAAGAGCTTGGTATGTACAAGTCCTACGCAGATGCCATCTCAAGAGGCGAGAAAAAGCACCAGGCTGAGGTAAAACTCTGTGAAAAATCTGATCAAGTTGTAGCAGTTGGTCCTAAGCTGGCTGAAGCTTTCTCAGGTTATCTCCGTGCCTGTGGAAAGGATCAAGATGTTCTTAATCTTACCCCAGGTATCTTCTCTGAGTTTTCTGATGTAAAGCAAGCCACTGAAGAGAGAAAAACATTCAGTGTTTTAGTGTTTGGACGTGGTGACAATGAAGACTTTCAGCTGAAAGGATATGACATCGCAGCTCGTGCTATTGCCGAGTTGAAAGACGAGCCACAGCCCTATAAGCTCTTGTTTGTTGGAGCTCCAAGTGGAGAAGAGGAGAAAGTGAAAGATTTGTTACTCCAGCAAGGCATTGATCGCAGTCAACTAGCTGTGCGTTGTTTTAATGAAAGCAGAGAGAAGCTAGCCCGTTTGTTTTGTGAAGTAGATCTTGTTATAATGCCATCACGAACTGAGGGCTTTGGTCTTGCCGCCCTTGAGGCCTTATCTGCTGGTCTGCCTGTGCTAGTTAGTGGGAACTCTGGTCTTGGCGAGGCCTTACAGGAAGTTCCATATGGTTCAAATTGTGTGGTGGAATCAGAAGATCCTAAAGATTGGGCCAATGCAATCAAAGCTGTTCGGAAGAAAAAAAGGAAGCTGCGACTGAGAGAGGCCAAGCTTCTTCAAGGAGAGTATGCCGATATATACAGATGGCAGGACCACTGTAATAGACTTGTGGAACGAATGCTTGCCATTTCTCAAGGTAACAGGTTCACTTTTTTAATTCAAATTGGTCTTGGTATTGTGTATTGCGCTGGCATTAGGAAATGTACATGTGTAAGTTTACGCAGTTACAATGACAACATTAGTGAAAACTTCACAACGATAAATTTGTCTCTCTCTTTTAATAAATCCACCAGATAAGTCCGCCTACATACATTTGCCAATTTCAGAGAGTATCAAAATTGCAATACCTTTTAACATTATTCCCATCCCTGAGGGCCATCCCTGAGGGTCAAAACTAAAGAATTATTGTATATGTGTACTCCATTTGTAGGTTCCAGTGCAGATGAGCAGAATTTATCTATGAAAGCCACTGTGATCTGTCATTATGAAAAACCCTCTCCTTCTGAAAAACGTCTTCATAAAGGTACACTTGAATCTTAGAAACATGTGCAATATGTCCACAAGAGCAATTCATTGTTTTCTATGTAGGAAAGTCTGGGAGATGTACTTTAATTTCGGCTTAATGATTATTCCTTGCGGGGATGTTAAAGAAACAACAAATGGTCGAAGCATTGAACAAGATTCGTTTAAAACTGACTTACAAGGTCAAAACGTCTTCACACTGGTTATAGGTTAACAATGTGAGATAGCGACAAATAATGCTCGTTTAGGTTTACTTTTCTCGTGCTAAATATCGTAATAGACTACAACAAAAGGAAATTGCGTTTTAACATATACACGGTAGGGTTGGTCTTTTTGTGACGGTTATTCTAAGTGAAATTTTGCCCAGTTAGGTAATTTCCAGAATCAGGGGAACTTTGGCTTGTGGAATCTGAAATCCAGAAAACGTTTTCTTTTGGAATCCAGAATCCTAGGCTTCGGAATCCGGAATCGAATTCAAGGAATCTGGAATCTCGCTAATGATTGGAATCCGAAATCCAAGTTCCGCTGACAAGGAACCCGGAGTCCAGTACCTAAAATCCAGAATCTAAGACTGTTTTGGTGGTGGAATTGACCTGCTCTGTGTTTCTGTTTGATTACCGTAAATTCTCTTTTAAGCCCCCCTCTCTCAAATAAGCCCCCTGTCTGTAGTAACCCCTACCCTTTTAAAGGGAAGAAAGTTAATAAGCCCCCCTCCCTCTCCTTCCCTCCCCTAATTATTCTTCACTAATAAACGATAGACTTTATTAATCAATCACGACTGTAAAACTTCGTGTGGACTGATAGCCCCGGTAGTCTGTTTAGCCTACGAGAAACCGCGTTCTGAAAGCGTCTTCAGGGAGGTACATGTGAATTCCCTATTTGAAATAAAAGCATACAAACACAAGTTTTGTAGGGAATTTAGCTGGGGTGTGTATGGGCAAACATAGTTGGATGATCACTAGTCTGGTTTAATTTCAGGTTCAAAAAAGGGGAAAAGGCCTTCGTCTCCAAGTAACACTCCAGCATCAAAAGTCCCAAAATGTTTAGGAGATGAAGGTAAAGTTTGTTTATGCATGATAAAGTTTATAACTGTCTTAGTACTGAAAGCAACATAGGAAGTAGAAAGCTCTGCATGGACAAACTTGTGTTCGTAAAATCTTTTGTGCTTCCTGTCACACCCCTTCCCCCTCCTGCTTTAGAGATGGATACTCAAGATGCTGGAGTCACTGTCATTCGTTTAGTGGCAAGACTTAAACTTCTCATTTTTTTCGCACGCTCTCTCCATTTCGTGCGTGTTTCATATTCCGCAAAGTTCTTCGCAGTCTGGCGCATTTTGTCAAACTGTGGTCAAGTCCTGTTCTTGTCAATTCCTTGCGAGATGGTTTATGGGGAAGGGTTTAGTACCTAATGATTTATTTGTGCGAAGGTAGTGTGGCAAAACGAAGAGATACTTTTCTGGTTTGATTGTTTGCTTTTCAACTGATTTTATGTGGTAAACAGGCCTCAGGAATTCAGAAGCTGAAGTATATTAAGTCTTTTACCCCTAGACCAAGTTATGGCGAGATGATTTGTCATTCTAAGTTTTACATTTGTGAAAAAACCCAATGGTGTTACCATTTAAATGACTCCTTTTTGGTAGAACTTTTACTCAGTGCTATTTATTTCTTGGGATTTCACTAAAAAATATCTGGAATCTTTGTGAGTTTTCCCTTTTCCACTTTTAGTACTCTTAGGAGTGAAATGCTGTCAACTCCGATTTGTGGATCCTCCTTTATGTAAATGCAGAAGTGACTGAACATTGATTCCTCAAAAAATAATGCAGTTAGTTTCTCAGTGGTGCTGCGTGCAAGGGTGAAATACACCCAAAAAATGGTTTTATCAACTGAGTCGACACTGGTAAATTGGCCACCTGGAAGAGGTTTTAAAGCATACTTCTCGAGAGCTAACCTCGCGTTAGTTGTTTTCATTATTCAACATTTTCTTTTAAGGCCTATCTGTAGTAAAATACAGTCGAACCTTCATGTGCGACTACCTCTCGTAAGCGACCACTTCTCCAAAACACCAAACGTTACCCAGTCGAAGCCTTACAGTTGGAACGACCACCTCCTGTAAGCGACAGCAACTACTTTTTGGAGCTGACGGTTTTATAGTTTTTTATTGTTTTTTACCTCTCCATGATCTGATCTCTATGCTAGCTATGTGTACCATACCACTCAGTGTATATAAAGAACTTTTAGCGTCAACATAAATCTACACATACATGTATCGTAACTAAGAAATTGCATGCAAAACAGAGTCAGGACCTTTTCTCGAAAGAGACCCCTTGTTGTTCGATTCTTGTAAGTGACCACGTCCCGTAAGCGACCTTTGACTCTCAACATTTTGGGTAGCGATTTATGTACAACAGAACAGTCAGGAAGGGAAAACATAAACAATGACGTCGGCGAAGACTTTAGCAGCGTATTATTTTAACTCCCACTAAATACTCAATGTAAAGAGAGTTTACCGTCATTTCATGGAACAAAGGGAGGACAACATTTGACAAATACTCCGTTCGTAGCGTCAAATCCTCTTGTTTGTTGTTACTGACAGATATTTCCGATCTCCTTGTTTCCAACAGGTTGGGACATCTTGGTTCTTGAGAAATTGTTAAAAAAGGAATACAAAAGGCGCTCGCAGCTAAGACCACTTCTTTGGGATAGCACCATCCAGTTGCCCATACAACAAGTCTACACAAGACTGAAAATCGTTTCAAGAGGAAAATTGACCATCCAGATGGATGACGACGAGGTGAATGTGTTCGACATCTTCGAATTTCCTGGTAGAGGTGAGGATGTTATGACGATAGTGGAAGGAAGTCCAGGAATCGGTAAAACTACGTTTTGTCTCAAACTTGCTTATGACTGGGCTCATGGAAATATCCCATCGGAGTGCTCCTTTCCCAAATTTGAATTTGTGTTTCTCCTCAAATGTCGTGACATTGATGGAGATATAATGGAAGCTGTTAGTGAACAGCTTTTGCCCAGAGGAAGGGAGAAGTCTGTGGAAAAATTGTTGCACTTCATGAAGGACATTCATAACCAGGAGAGATTGATTTTAATCATTTTGGATGGATTGGATGAGCTACCTGAACAATCACGGTACCATGTTGATGAACTGCTTCACAGAAGAATTTTACCATTTTGCTATGTCCTGGCGACGTCACGACAAGAAAGAGGAATTGAGGTACGAAAAACCTTTGTCTTCGACATTCATTTGGAAATCAAAGGCTATACAGAAAGTGATTCGATTGCGTACGTCAGAAGGCACTTTGAAACCATTGGTCAGTTACCAAAGGGAGAGAGGCTCATTGAGGAAATGCAACAGAACACCTTCTTGCATGCACTCCGAAATAACCCGCTAAATTTACTTCTTCTATGTGTTATTTTCGAAGACTATGAGGGAAAATTGCCAACATCCCGGACGGAACTATACCAAGTCATTGTCCAATGTCTTTTGAGACGATATTGTGCAAGACACAGTCTGGCGGTACCGAAAGATAACACCACTTTACAAAAACGTTTTGAAGAAGATGTTCTTGCTCTTGGAGAGCTGGCTTGGGCGTGCCTACTGAATGATCGTCAATCTTTTTCCGAAGGAAAACTGGCAGAATGTGAAGTCAAAAATCAAAACATGGTAGCTCGCAAAATCGGCCTTCTTTACATGGAAGAAAGCATGAAGAGGATAAGCCCACAACACGAGTATTGGTTTCTTCACAAGACCTTCCAAGAATATTTAGCAGCTGCTTTTATAACGCGCAAGCTACAAAAAGGAGAACTAAATGTGTTTCAGTACACGACGTTTGATGATTTGGTCGGAAAATATCTACAGGTTTTTCTTTTTGTTTCTGGTATGCTGGGCGGGAAAGCAACTGTGCTATTCACTCAGATTGGGGAGAAGTTAAATGAGAAGGGAGACTGGGACTGGAGCAAGTGCAGCGAGCAGGCGGCAACGTTCTTGGTGGAAAGCTTTAGAGAAAGTGGACACGCTGAAGAAATTGCGGTTACTCTTTGTAGCATTATACCTTTTCCAGAGGAAGTATTTCTTCTTGATAAAGATGTTTATCCCTTTGCTCGGGTTTTAATAGCTTGCAAAAGTTTTTCAAACTTACAATTTCCTGTTAAACTTACGGCTGCAGCTGGGACGGTGGATTCAGAAAATGACGACGTTGTATTTCACTGTATAGAATGCATCTCCAAGCTGACAACCGTTAGGCTTAAACTTCCCGCCTTGTTTCGTCAGGGATCACCTAATAAGGATCGTCTTTATAAATGGTTATCTGCAAGCAAGAGTTTATCAGAGTTTACTCTCAAATCGCTATGGAATGACAGCGAAGACGTGCCTCTTCTACTGTGCAATGGGTTGGCTTCTTGTCAAAGCCTGACAAAAGTAAAGTTTACGCTGGCTGGTGAGAATAGCGGGGCTTATTTCAATGCTGTTGATATTGGATTGTCTGCTGACAACCCGCTGTCGTCTAAGATTGTTCTCGAGATATATGGCCCAATTAATCACACTGCGATACAAGCCTTACAGAAGCTATTAACAAATAAATCTTTGATATCCCTTTCCCTTTACATTTGTGGAGGTGTGCTGGATTTATTAGTTGCTGCTGTCAGTAATGCTTTCGCAAAGCACACAGCTTTGAAATCTATTGATCTACGTCTTCGTGGAAAGCTGAGTTCGTCTGGTGTCCATACCCTACAAAAAAGTCTGTTGGAAAATACGTCTTTAAATTATTTGAAAGTGGTCGTCCTCGGTGAGGTCCCTGATAACTGGCAGTCTGTTGTGGAAACCCTTTATTCGTCAAAGAAGTCCCAAGTTACCTATGTATTTTGTCCAAACATCGTGGGCAACATAGCAGAAGAGCATATTGACCTTGTTTTGGCTGAAAATGGATTAGTACCAAAGCAGCACTTGACTGTTAGTGTTTGGGGTGAGCTGAGTTGTGAAGAGGCAAAAGCTCTATGCAAAGTCTTGGTAAGTTCCTCTCTTGCTCTTTTGACCTTAAACGTGAACGGCAACTTGACTGATGATGTAATTATTTCCATCGCAAGTGGCTTGAAAGGGTTGAAGACACTCTCTTTCCTGTTCGTCAACATCTGGGGCAATTTGTCATTGGAGGGAAGAACAATTCTCTCCGCACTAACAAACCTTAGCGTTCATTTAAATGTGCATACAACACCAGAGGAATCGAACCTTTTACTTGATATCTCTTTAGATAATCGTTCGGCACTGAGATCGTTTTTCGCTAAAGTCAAGGATACAAGCAAAGAAAAAATCAGTCTTACAATCAATGACAACAGTGATGCCATTAAGGAATGGGCACATCATCTAAGTGATGCTTTGGCAGAAAAGACCTCACTGACTGCTCTGGATCTCACATTAAACAACTGCTTGATGGATGGAAACTTAGGAGAAGACGTTGGGGAACTTTTAGTGCAAAGTACTTCAATTAAAACTCTTAGTCTCACAATCAGCTGCAGTGACATAAAAGGATTGGTACGTACACTGAGTGCCTGCTTTGCTAAACGAACTTCTTTTACCACTCTCAGTCTGGAAATAAACGACTACAGTGAGGCAGCTGGGTTTCGCCGGACTAAAATGACTAACATTTTGGCGGCAATCAAACCATTATCTACCCTGTCTGTTGCAGTCCATAGTCGTAGCATGGTTCCATTTTGGGAAAGGGTTGTGGGTGACTGTTTGCGAAAGTGTACGTCGCTTAAAAGTCTCAGTCTTGCAAACAATACAGGATATGATCACGTGGCGCAGGAAAGTACTTATACCTTTAGGAGCGCTTTAGCTGAAACAACCTTATTAAATACACTCAGTCTGGCAGCTTCTTTAAACTATTATCAATTGAATTCCAATGAGTCTTTTTTAAAATGCGTGGATAAATTAAATACGTCATTAACCACCCTTACGGTTACTCTGTCAGTTGGTGAGTTCCTCAAGAGTACTGCATACGCAGCTTCCAAAGGGTTCCCAACAGGACTGTCGAAGAACAAGTTTATAACGACATTAAATCTCACAATAAATGAATTCGGTGAAGGCATATCCTGTATAGGATCGCTTTTATGGTACCTTGGAGTGTTTGAAGGTTTGGCACAAAACACATCAGTAACCACATTCAATTTGACACTCAGCAGTAGCAGAGAAGTGAGTGATGATTGGTTACCAGGCCTTTGCCACGCTTTGAAGAAAAACACCTCACTGACAACACTGAGATTGAAAGTCAACAACCATTGTTCGACAGGCAAAAGTCGTTTATATGACCTAAGAAAACTTGCGTTAGAAAGCAAATCATTATCCTTACTTGAACTCGAGGTAAGTTTTTATGGAAAAGAAAGTGACTAATAAAGGCTTTGATTCAGTAGAAGAATACAATTTCGATTGGTGTGCTTCACAGAGCAAACAACTGTCAGTATCGAGTGCGATTTGTTCAGACTAGAAATGTGGCTTGAAATAGAAATGTATCACAACGTACTAACCTGAAGACGCTCCGTCACGTCATTCGTTCATTTAGTGAATCTTAATGACAGATTCTAACTCTAATTCTAATTCTAATCGTGTAATCTGCAAAGGGTATATCCCATCACTGGAGATGCTTTTTCATACGTTTGCTAAGCCAATCAAACACTGCTCGTTTTTGTCTAGTCGTCTATCTAAACTAATCTTATTGCTGCCTTAAGTTACGGCCACGCGTGATCTTATGAAGACACAGAAAGTCATTCTGTTTCAAGCCACATCACACTCGTTTCCTTTGATACTGGGTATTGTTTTCCTATGGAAGCCCGGTCAGTAGTCCGTTATATTCACACTGTTCTGTATAGTGTTAAATGTTGCCTGAGATAATCTGATGACGGATGAGAGTTTTTTTCGTTATCGGTTTGTTTTTAGTTCATTTTTTAAAAACGACATTACTGTGACCTTCTGCTTTATGTCAAAACTGAACTGGACTTGCTGCGTTCAGTGTAAAATCGTTGCGTGTTCGATTCGATTTATGGTAAAATCGAACTACTGATCATATCAAAAGGGAGAATTTTACCAAGATATTGCCACATTTGTTTCCATCGTAGCCTTCAGTACACAAGTATGATCAACTTCAGCGGTGTCTGAACTGTAACCAACTTTGGTGCGTTTTGTTCACACTATACAGCATAGTTTGAATGTGACGTCAGTTTGGAAATTGCACCCTATTGCTCAGTCTTGTTAAATCTTCCATGGTCATTTCAAATTACATGGTTGTACAATATAACCCAATCCCAAGCCTTATGACTTCGTTAAATGTTGGAGTTCGTTTTTCTTTTGCAACTTGTTCACCATCTGGTCCAGTGTGACCAAGGTTGATAAAACATGAGTTACTAGTAGCTTTAGAGTTTGGTAAATATTGCAACTTATGATTGTGACTTGTACGCCATCTGGTCCAGTGAGGCCAAGGTTAATACAACATGAGTTACTAGTAGTTTTAGAGTTTGATAATTATTGTAACTGATTATTGTGACTTGTAGGCCATCTGGTCCAGTGTGATCAAGGTTAATACAACATGAGTTACTAGTAGTTTTAGAGTTTGATAAATATTGTAACTGATTATTGTTACTTGTAGGCCATCTGGTCCAGTGAGGCCAAGGTTAATACAACATGAGTTACTAGTAGTTTTATAGTTTGATAAATAGGGTAACCTGATGATTGTGACTTGTACACCATCTGGTCCAGTGTGACCAAGGCTAATACAACATGAGTTACTCATAGACTTAGAGTTTGATAAATATTATAACTAATTATTGTGACTTGCACGTCATCTGGTCCAGTGTGGCCAAGGTTAATAAACATTAGTTGCTAGTTGTGTGATTTTAGAGTTTGATAAAATTAATGTCGTAATTGAAAATTATTAGGGACCTTAGGCAACGAGAACCTTGACGTACCGGACGTCAAAAATGACAACCGGAAGTTGATACTTATTTCCTGTCAGTGCTCTAAACAAAGGCATTCAGATTCGTTATGTGTGACAGAAGCTTTTCATTAAGCGAGACATCGAACTTCTGGTTGCTATTCATGACGTCCGGGAGGTCAGCGTTCTCGTTGCATAAGTTCGCTATCACTTCGACTTAAAACTCAGCGAGGCCAAGTTTGATAGAAATGATAACTTTGCATGTTTGCCATTAGAAAAAAGTTGTTCTTTAGTGAAGTTTGCATGATAATAACAAATAAATAGGGAAAAAATGTAATTTAGTTTCAAAGAACGTACATTTCTATTGTAATTTAGTGTACCTTAAAATCGTCAAGTCGAGGGCGATTAGTGTGAATTGACTGCATCTGGTTTGTGGATGCAATGAACATTTGCTACAAGCAAGTAAAAGAGAACAATGCTTACTATTTTTAGCTTTAAATGCAACAAGTTTCGTTGTTCAGAATTGTGTATTTACATTTTTAACTAAATTAAAGAAATTCGCAAAGTACAAATGCTGATTATTTTCTTGTTAATATATAGAGCGTTTTCACTCGCGTGGCTAATCACGTGGCCAGCAGCTTTAGAAATTCACTGAACAAAAGAAAATATTTGCATAAGAAAAAGGTTTAACTCTCACAGAATTGGTTTGGAACACCAACATGGCCTCCATTTCACTATTTTAGGACACCAATATGTCGGTTTTGACGTCATGTGAAAAGGCTCTATAGGTTGTATTTAAGGTGGCTCCCTACAGTAAATTGGCCGTGCGCAGCCTGAGCACTAGTATGGCGCGAGCTTTAAAATCTGCGCGACGTCCACGCAAAAATTAAAGCAAACATGGCCTCTCAGTTTCTAAATATCCCCCCCAAAAAAACTTTATTAACTTTCTGTTGAAGCTCATTGTGAAAAAAGTTTGATTAGTGTAGGGCAAACATTTATGAGAGGAGACAATGTCACACCGGTTACAAGTCACTATCGATCTCCATAAGAGTAAATTGTATGTGTTGTGGTTCAATTTTATCCTTGGTTTAAATTTTATTTTCTTTTGTTTTTGGGTATGGTAATGTATGATAATGAGTTTGAAACAAAAGAAAATAAAATTTAAACCAAGGATAAAATTGAACCACAACATATCCAACACTCCTCATTCTTAATCGCCGTAATAGACTGGAACTAGCTTGCGATCGAGGCTGGTACATCTTATTTACAATACAAATCAACTCTATTTAGAAGGATGCGTAAATAAAGTCTCTCTGCTTTGCGTAAAGAGCTAGGAACCTCGTCCTGTTTGTGTGGTTTAGTTGTCATTGTGGGTGTCGACAAGAAGGGACTGATATCAAAAGGGACGGTTGGGTGTCCTGTTTCATCATTTGCCACTTTGGTAGAAACTCAAAAGAAGCGACATTTAGAACATGACAACTTTATTTCTCACACGACCTTGCTACAATACCCCAAAACCCTCGCTTACAACATAGCTCTTCACATTGTGTCATAATCAGTACTCACTAGGCTCAGTTCTTGACCTTCTACAGTTTACCGTAACAATAACATAACAGATCGTCTGGTCCTTTTAAACACTGTCACATCACTCTGTCTTATTCAGTTCTTCCAAACCCATTCATAACATCGAATTACCCATGTTAAAAAAATAATAAACCCCGGCTTATGTCAGTAGCACTATAACAGAAAAGTAATAGCGGAATAAAGCCGTCGACGCGAAATCCTAACAGCTGCGCAGGTTTGTATTGTACATTACTGTGACGGATTCAGACCTTCAGATAACCGGGGGGGAGGAGGAGGGGGTGTTCTACCTATAATGGCCTATATGAACAGGTTTCGCGGCTTCCGCCTGAAAGGAGTATTTTTTTGGTTCAGGCTTCAGGTACGAATGGATAGGGATTTCTCCAGTTGAAGTATATTGAAGGGTTCGAAAAATCAAAAGGGATAAATAACAGATGCATTTTGTAGCTGTATAAGAGTCACGAATACCTCTTGGTTTAGGGATTTATTCATGATCTGCAAAAAATGGAGCATTTAAGGCAGTTAGAGGGGTGTCATTTGTCGATAGAAGGTATACGAAAGGGGAACCTTTTCTGTCAAAAATGGTTTGTAAAAGGATAAGAGGGGGGGAGGGGTGGAAAGGTTGGCGGACCCTCTTCGTATAACACTTTGCTGAGTGCTCCCCTAGCTCATTGGGCTATCATTACGGCCCGCAGCGAGAAGCTGTGTGTTCTTTTGCTGCTTGTTTTTGTCAGGTTTTATGCTTATCGCTTTTTTTCGTATTCAATTAGAATGCTTCCATTTTCCTTGCATCTAAGTCCTCCATCCACTCTTCGACCTTTACAAGTTCGATCATTTCTCACGTGACACTTCACGTGATAGCGTTAGACCAATTAAAACATTCTTGCACGATAAACCGAAACGGAAGTTCTTTCCCTGAACGCTGGTGAGGGGGAATCTGTCCAATTTCGTGAAGAATTTGCAAACTTCTAGCTGTTTTCATAAGTCTGGCAGTCATGGGCTGACTAAATCTTCTCACCAAGTGTTTAATTATGTAGCTGTGACGAAATCATAGTGAAGATGGCTTCCACGTGGCTGCATTTTCGTTGCGGAATTCCTGAAGTTTAGGTAAGCCTATCGAAGTTACAATCTAACTTAGTTCCATTTGAATCCACAAGGCCTCTCTTAACTTTTTATGTTTGAGAAGAAAAAAAGCGCCTTATTAGTTTTTTAATAGGCCCTAAGGCATCTACAAGCAATGATCTTCTGCAGTCGAATACACGCAGTCGACAGATCGCGTGACTCTGAAGAACTGAAATGCGTTTTGTAAATTTCAGCAGAAGTAGCCATAAGTACGTTTTTCGGGCACCTAATTTATAACGGTCATTTTGATTTGGTTTTTCGAAATGGCCAGACATTTTCTAAAGAGATTTATAATCACGTTTACGGCAGATGACAGACGTCAAACTCAGGTTGTGAGTTTCTGATATTAAGGAGTGAGCCAGGGGAATGAGCAAATAAAATTGCTTAGGATTACAGTCAACTCTCTCATAACTTACACCTCGCTACAACTGACACTTAGAGTTGGTCTCTGCCTTTCTTTTTCCTTTTTGTTGACCCCCAATAAGACGCACACCTTTCGAACATGGACATAACGTGCTGGTCCCAAAGTTGTCAGTCTTAGTGAGAGGAGAAAGAAAAATCACAAAAACAGCATGTTTTGTTTTATAGCAAGAAATTGTTTCTCAAGAGTGCGCACTCTCATTGTTACTTTGAGGGCAATGACATCTAACAATGAAACCATTCTTAGCCAAAATCTCTGAGCAGGCAACATTGGAAAATTTAGAATGTTGGAGGGTAACAGTGCCCTGTTGTCTACAAATGTTGACTGACGACAGCCGTTACA